TGGTTACAATTGTGCCAACTCTTTGAAATTATATTCTTTTGTTTACATAAATTGGTCATTTGAATTTTAATATACTGAAAGCTTTTTAAAAATATTTGTTTCCTTTTAAATTTCAAGTTTCATACCTTTTTTTCATTTCTTACCCATTGATATCACTCATATGGCATGGATTTTTGTGTACTTGTTTTGTCAACAAGAGCAATGCATTTTCTTACCATGCATCTGACTATTTATCTAAAATGTATAATTTGACAATATAGGTTATAGGTTTTTATGAGCATGAAGTATGTGGTAGCCAGGCACCATCACCTCACCTTACCTCCCATTCCAAAGATCTTTACTGTTTTATTCTCATGTTCCTAAAGGCTTTTCCAAACAATGTGTAGTAGGCTTTTCTTTTGCTATGGAACTAAAATAATTTTTGCAGCTCCTCCACGTCCTACTCTCTCTTCCACTTCTCCCCCTCTCTATTTCCCAGGTCTCCCTTCTCCCCACCCCTCGCCATGTTTCCCATCTCTTCAGAGGATCTTGCCTCATTTCTCTTAGGATAGGGGGAAGAGGGAATCATAGGTTAGAAGACAGACCAGGCACCATTGTGACCTCTAGTGATCTTAACAGATGACACCAATTGACAAGCTAAGCAATAGTGTAGAGACCACCTCGAATGCCTATTCCTGATAGTGAACTTGATGTCTATAACCATGCTGGAGGCTTCATCCAGTGACTAATGGAAGCAGAGGCAAACACCCACAGTTAAATACTGAATAGAACCCAAGGAACCCAGCGACATAGAGAGAGGAGCGAAGAGCAAATTGGCAAAGAATGGGCTGGCAAAACCAGCAGAGACAGCTGATACGAACAGGGGAGAGCTCTTGGACCCCAGACCGACAGCTGGGAGGCCAGCATGGGACCGATCCAGACCCCCTGAATGTGAGAGTCAATGAGGAGGCCTGGCTACCTATGGGGTCCTGAGCAGTGGATCAGTGTTTATCCCTCGAATACTAATAGACATTGTGTGTCCATAACACAAAGAGGGTTGCTGTCTCTGCCTAGACTCTTAGGGAAGTGCCTGGACCCTACCCTGAATGAAATGATAGACTCTAGATATCCCCTATGCTGAAGGAATTGGCAATAGGGTGGGAGAATGGGGGGGATGGTGGGGGGCTGCGGGAGGAGGGGAGGGAGAGCCAACTGGGATTGACAAGTAAAACAAGCTAATTAAAATTAAAAAATGTTAAAAAAAAGAATTTTTGCAGCAATGAAAACTCAGCTCTCCAAGACTAAACATGAAGATAATGTGACTTCTGCTCTGCTTTTTCCTATTTAGGTGGTACCATCTACTATGCTGTGGGGACACACCAGTGTCAACAGCCTGACGGGTGAAACATCTTGCAAATAGTTCCATTCACATCAATCTTCCGTCACATGCTATCTCTGCCAATGTCTTTATCGCAATATCAGGATAGAACTCAAGACTGAAGCCGGGCGTTGGTGGCGCACGCCTTTAATCCCAGCACTCGGGAGGCAGAGGCAGGCGGATCTCTGTGAGTTCGAGGCCAGGCTGGACCGACAGCCTCCAAAACAGAGAAACCCTGTCTCGTAGAACCAAAAAAAAAAAAAAAAAGAACTTAAGACTGAGTCATCTATATAGACCATTTCCAAATCTCTGACCCATGGATGGTATGTTAAAATACAAATGTACTTTTGAAGCAATTTGTTAGTCATGAATAACTGCTAAAAACAAAAAGGCAGGTAAGTTTCGCTGTGCAAACACTCTACTTCTCTAACTTCCCTACTTACTAAATCGCTAAGGTCAAGTTTAATAAAGTTCCAGTTAATTGAAATAAAAGTATATATGTATATTTCTTTTTTTTTCTCTCAAGACAGGGTTTCTTTGTATTGCTTTGGAGCCTGTCCTGGAACTCACTCTGTAGACCAGAATGGTCTTGAACTGACAGAGACCTGCCTGCCTCTGCCTCCTGAGTGCTGAAATTAAAGGTGTACATCACCAAAGCCAGGCATATATGTACATTTCTCCATCATGTAAGATGTAGTTTCAATCTCAAAATGTCATAATTATGTAATTACTTTAAGTAATATGCCTCAAAAGACTTCCTATGTGTCTGACAATCACCCAGAGAAGAATAAAACAATCCTTTCCTTGAAAAAGATTAGATTTCTGCATGATACCATCAAGCCAACTGATATTTCTAATACATTGTACTAATTCGTCTAGATGTGTCCACACAATACTAGAAGAAAGGAAATATTGTATAATGTGTTTTTCTTATGATGTAGTAGAATGCATCATAAAAGAAGGTCTATGTCATCAAGCGACAACAAGTTTCCACTCACTGAATGGACTACTTATGACAAAGAGGGTCTTTCCAGCATCTTTGAAAGCAATTGTCCATATAATCCTATCATGTAGGATTGTTTTCACAACCCTCACTTTGTAGATGTAAACACTGAGGCCAAGAGTAACTATATATCCCACATTATCAAAGAGGAATCAAGTAGCATGGTCTGAGATAGCAAATCAATGAGGCATGAGAAGCCCCATTTTTTACAATTAAACATCACTCTAGCTCTACCAGAGCCTGGAGTTGGGGAAACACCATTGTACATGGACAACAAGAAATGAAAGTTTATGTTTGTCTAGGATGAATGGGTAAGACCAGGAATAAATATGGTTGAGAAATTGGATATGTGCACTAAACTACAAGATAAAAATGAAGACTTAAGCCAAGGACTTGAATTTCACACAAGGTATTTTCTGTGTTTGGGCATCAGGGAAAACATGACTTTTCCAGATATTCATACTATGAAGATGTATTCAGAGATCTACAAATGAGTAGGAACTGATGAACATGGTACAAAATTTCGTAAGTTCACTTAAAGGAGTGAAGTGCAATAATTGACATGGTGCCATTGATAAGAAAATGAAGATTTATAAGGTATTTGTGCTTACAAATCATAAGCTGTGATACCTGATGGCAGGCTTTTCTTGTGGTATTGACTAGTTTTTCCATTAATAAATGTAGTCATCATTAAGGAGAAAACTTCAAAGAGGATCTTGTGAAGCCTGACTGAAGTATTAACTATCAGATAAAATGCCTGTAACCAGTAACCATTCATGGCTCTTGATGACAGCAGTTTCATGGAAAATGTATCCAATATTTTATCTGAAAATCTAATTGAAGATAGCTTTGTACTTTATAGAATAAATGTCTGTGCCTGCTTATGAAATTAACTTACAGATATTAGATTGACATAGAGCTCTTAAAAATATATACTACAAAATGAATTAACTACGTTTTATGGTTATTTTGTATTGAGGTTAAAATAAATGAAACTATGTTGTAATGGAAAGGAAATGTGAAATTCTGCAGTCCATTTAGATTAAGTAAAAGGGTAGTTTTCTGGGGTAATGTAACCAAATTTATTCATGTAAAGTTCTGTCATTTTCAATTATAGACAATGCAACTGCATTGTCTTTAAAAAATGTATGAAAGAAAACAGTGAATGCATTACCTATTAAAGAAGAAACATATGGCTCTATTTGATTGGTACTTCAGTCTTATCTCTCTGGTAAATGATGCCAAACATAGTCCAACTACCAAAGATATAGCTAGTAGAAATCGTGTTAGTCATGCCTCTGTGTTCATAAACTCAAATAATAGACATCTATGCCTTTAGCATATTTACATTACAGGTTTGACTCATCTAGCATATCAATTGTATGGTACAAATAGTAGGTTCTTGATAAGTAATTATTGAATGACTAAAATTGCGTGAGAAGAGGATTCCTGAATCTATAGACTCCAATTCTCAGTGTCCAGATGCTAAAGATCTTACTACCAGTGGAAATAAAGAGAAAATGAGGGAGCAGATAACATGCTTGAAGAGCACATTAAGATGATAATAAAAATTTTTGGTAGTGGTAAACAGTAATGGACAAAAAATCCATTCATCTACTCATGGAATTGTACTGAGTATCCAAATGGTTCCTTCCTTTCAGGAACTTACAGTCAGTAGAGAATATAAGTTCAGTGTCAGATGTGGAGATAGATACATACAATTTGAAAATTTAAAATATCTTTTAACAAAGAGATGAACAGTGAGTCCTAAGACTGAATAGTCTTCAATGAAAATCTGTCTTTTCTCACATGCATTATCCCTGCTGTTCTCCAAATGTAAGGGGCTTGTGAACACTCAAGACATGTTGTCTCATAAGCAACTAAGGGAAAATCATCTTTACACTCTCATTTCTGAGACTAAGATCAGGCAGGTCAATAGTGTGTGTCTGGAAAAGAAACTTGAGACCATATGTCAGCAAACCTTAGGAATAATTCCATGCATCTTTCTTATTCATCCAAAATTATTTAGTATGTTCTGTACTTTATTTTCTCAAGTGTAAAACCCACAAGTTATTTCTTCCTACATAGCTGATTAATTCAATTTCAAAGATAAATCTCTACCAGGCTTTGAATCATCATTTTTTGTTTGCTTGTGTGTGTGTGTGTTTGTTGGTTATTTATGAAGCTGCATTTAGCCTTCATGAAGCTTTAAAGAAGAGGACACTGATTGCATTTTTCAAATCAGTGAACACAACAGATCAAGAAAGAGTAAAGAAGCAACTGATTCCAGTGAAGCCTGGAGTCAGATATAACGGGAAACGCAGAGATAAGAGAGAAGGAGCAAGTCACAGCCACACCTAACCTTCTTAGGGTCTCAGCAGATAAGGGAGCAAGTTGCTGTTTCTGTCCCATTATATCCTCATTTCCACCAGCCATCTCACTTCCTGTCTGTCTGTACCGACCTCTATACCTACTTGGTTACCTAGTGGCACGCTCCATTCTCTGACTTTCAGACACACTTTATTTGTTATACAAGTAAGATATCACCACACACACTTAAGTTGCAGTGGAGAGAAACAATGCCACACCTTAGGAGAACATTTTTCCTTTTTTTTAAACTCCAAATGCAATGCTTCTTACCTGAAAAGTTTTTGTAGTCGACTAAGTCAAACATAACGATAGCAACAGCTGACCATGTGATTATCAGAGCAATGACCAGAAGCCAGGCTGCAGGGGAGCTGAAGGTTGTCACGAGGTCTTCGGTGACAGTCCTCTTCAGCACCTTTCCAGGGGACTTGGGCACAGATCCATTTTTGTTGTCTATCACAGTTGTGGTTGTAGATGCATTTCCTAGTCACACAACCAGAAAATAAAATTTCATAAATTAACTTCAAATGTAAGAAATAAAATAACACAGACTAGTAAATCCTTGATGGTATTTTCTAGACGGGAACATTACGCAGTGCAATTCAATAGCCCATAGACCATCTGCATATTACTCCATTCTCAGCATTTTGCTCCAGGGGCTTAAGTGATAAGTGGTCCTTATCTCCAGTACCGTTTTTCATTCTCACTATTAGAAGCAACTGTGAGTTTGAGGGCTAAGATGCCTCTTATTACTATGACCTTTAATTTGGGGTCTCTTGGAATTCATAAAGCAAGCAAAGAATCCTCTTATGGTGAGAATAAAAATTAGTCACAAAGTAGTTCAAGTGAGTGAAATTTTTTCTTGATAGCCTGTTTAATTGCCTAACTTGTTCTTACTGACTTCATTATATTTTGGTAGATACACAGAACTAAGAGTAATGTGGGGAGATCCTGGGATATCAACTTGATTTTTAAGAACGTATAGCTGACATCACAATGAATAAAATATAAAATAGCAAAGTTGTAAACATCTCCATGAGTTTGAGGCCAGCCTGGTCTACAGAACAAGCGCCAGGAGAGTCTCCAAAGGTACACAAAGAAACCCTGGGTCAAAAAAAGAAAAAAAAGTAATATATATCATTTTCAATCTCATCATTCAAAAACAACTTCTGTTAAATGTTCTTTTTCCTGATTTTCTCTACATAGATTTAAATGTGCATGTATGCTTTGTTTGTAACAAGTTATGATCATATTTACATTTACTTTTATCTAAGCGATATAAAATAAGTGGTACAAATATTTCAGTATAAGAAATCATTTAAACTAGAAAACAAAGTATGATCTCTTGAGACATAGGTGTAGACAGTGATCCTTATGGTACAATTTTAGTTCATAAAATATTCTTTAAGTATTGGTTGGAAATATAAAAATTCTGTATGCAAAGTAAGCACTTTAGTTAATGAAGTCTGAATACATTTTCTTCCATAAAATGAAACTTTCTCTTCACAGAAATAAAAATCATACAATTCTTTGACTACCCAGAGGCATGGGCATATCAGTATATTACACAAATAGAGCATACTTACACAAATAATTTTTTATTTTGATGGTAAATGCAGTCTTAGATTTTCAAAAGGTTAAAATGTTAATCGGGGCACCATTGGTGAGATGATTTAAATAAGATTTTAAAAGTGGCTTTTGATAGATATTAGCAATAATATTGCCAGAGTTCCTTTTATAAAAGGAAAACCATGGAGATGCATGCTTCAAGTTCATGAACTCAATTTAGTGGAAATGATAGCAAGATCGACTACTACCTTTAGAAACAGATTTCATAAACTGTATTTGAAGTAGTACTCAAAGAAGAAAAAATTAGAAAGAATTCACATCATATCCTCTCATTGATTTTCGTGCCAAATTCCCATTGCTCCTATGGTAGTTCTGAAATGGATGAATGTATTGGAGTGCTTTGAAATGAGATTTAAGACCCAAGTGAGGCCACGAGTGAATCAAACCTTCAGAATAATGATTTTCAGGAAAGTAAATGAATTATGAGTGTTTAGGAGTAGCCTACCTGAAAGTTGATATGTTGCTAATCTCCAGAATTTTAACCTGTGGAAAGCTTTCTATGACTCCTGAAAAACTGTTTCTGCACTTCAGATGCACTTGAGTGAGTCGACCAGTTCAGCTGCAGATAAGTGCGTGTCAACCTGCCTGGTGTCTTATAACTGAATGTGTAAGTTTAAAGAGATTTCACTTAAGTTTCTAGAATCTTGGTCACATGTTTAAAAAGTAGAAAAATTCAAATGGAACATAAATTTTCTTTTTAATCAAGAATAAAGAAAAATACAAATTCAAGAAGTAGTGCAAGTTCACAGTTAAAATGTGAATTTCATGGTTTTTAAAGAACTAGTAGAAGTTCTGAACTTTAAATCCTTATATCGTCCTGATAATAAGGCTGTGGTAGAGTTTTCAAAGAGATGAAAATGATAAAGTCAACACTAATTTACTAATTTCATTATCCTCTTTAATTTTTTTCACATTCACACTGTCAAATTTTCCATATAAAAATTAAGCAAGGCTCAAGTGTTATGGAAATACATGCCAAGTATACAACTAGAAAATAAAAGCTGAAGAGAAATCAGAAGGTTATCTGGCCAAAAACAAGTTATTTGCCTTTGTCACAAAGCATACTAAACTGTACTAGTCATTTTCCATTCATATTTCCTACAGAAGCTACACAAAGCCAAGAGACAGAAAATGGAGAGGGCAAAAAATTGTCTTCCTTGACAGTTGGTCAAGATAAAGTCAAAGAGCAGAGTGTGTAATCTGAGATTATTTAATGTTTGAAAAGCACTTTAAAGATGAAAAGATCAAGTTATTGATGTTCTGGGGAAAATGAGAGGCAAATGTTACTGAGCAGTTTGACATGGGCTTTGCTTTTGGAAACTTGGTACTTCAGAACTGAAACAAAGAAGTCAGGCTCCTTACCATCCATGCCTACTTTTAAATTCTAGTCCTTTTGATTATTTTAATTGCCACATAGAATCATGTTCAAAAGAAGTAGGGATCAAGCTGCATAGCCAATGTGGCCCTGCACTGTAAAGCAAAATATGGAGCAGGTTGGAGAAGGATTTCAAAGATGGCTTCACAATCAAACTGTGCATAGAACAATAAATCAGAAGTCTCCTAGTGGAATCCAGTTAACCTCACCATGCCTTATTGATCACTTGAAGAGAGTGCCAACTGCACTTGCCCATTTTTGTTCCTGTGAAGGACCAGCAACACAAGGCTTTCCAAGAATCTCCAAGGAGACATGCCTAGGTTACAGATTGATGTTGTAAAAGCATTATGAATTTTGAATTTCACCACGGGGTGTCATTTATGAACTACAATTTATTTCTTCAGTATTTGGAGAGCAATGGAGTGAGATAGCAGTACATACATACTATCAGTGGCATTATATGCATTTCTAAAATACACTGAAAGCATATTCACAATCTCATATTAGAATAAGCTTTTTGTGTTTGACTACAAAACTTATGTAAATAAGAGCTTTTTAGAAAATCTCTTGAAAAGGTCTTTGTACAGGTATAGCTGAAAATGTTATAAATATCTGTCTTCTAACATTGTAACTTGTATTTGTAGAATGTATATGCAGCATATACATAGTTGAGATGAATTCATTACGGTTTTCTGTAAGTATGTAAAAACTAAAAGATAGTAACAGAAAATATAATTTATGGAAACAGTGGATAATAACCTATGTTAAAATAGACATATATCCTCATCAATATATGTGATATACCAAAACACTAACCATTTTTCAAGGAAGAGAACTACTTTGGTTAAAAAAATATTGAATGATGTGTCTCTTGCAATTTCAGTTAAAGTCTTATATTTACATTAATATCATTTTCCATGATTTTGGGGAAAGGTTGATAATTATAATGAAATTATAGAAGACATTTTGGTTATTTTATCTAGTGAGGCAGGAATACATAAGTAGCTATATTTAATATTATCTCATACAATATAGTTTGATCACTCTCTTTACTTTCTTCCAACTACTCCTCAATCCTCCATAGCTCTCTCCCTACTTACCCAACTCCATGTTACTTCTCTTTCTTTGTTGCCCTCAGAAACCAACCAAAAAAAAAAACTGTATGATTCTAAACTCTACTACTCTGCTATTGGGTGAATTTTTTTTCTAATGCTGAGAGCAGAGTGAACACCAGTTCTGCTTCACCAACCATAAGAACAAACCTTTAAACCATTTTGCATTATTGAGATTATAGTTCATTATTATGAAAGGTGGGATAAACCCCCATGTCTTATATGTCTGTGAAACAGTCAAAACACATTATTTTTATACTATAAACTTGTGAGTAGAGCCTGTAATAGCTTTCACCATTGAGAACTGATAACTTGGGTATCATTAATGTTTTTCAATCTCCACAGGAGTTTCAGGTAGAAGGGGTTTCTAACACCAGATGGGGCAGAGCATGTGCATAAAAGTATAAATGTATTGATGTTTGTCTTGCAAAGCTATGAGGCTCTGTTTTAGTCAACTCTGGATGAAATAAGAACCATAGATTTAAACATAAACTACATTTTTCCTTTCTTCTGGAGGTTGGTGTTTTGATGGCTTGTTAGGATTATTGTTAGGAATCCACTCCTGGTTGGCAGCGTCTGACACCCCAAGGTGTTGTCAAATGACAGAAAAGAAACAATGCCTCTAAGGGAAGGTTGCTATAAAAACAATAATTGTACTCTTTAATTTCCCACCCTAATTGCTTCTTCTAAACCTAATTACCTCCCAACTACCTGATTCCCTCAACTGAGCAACATCAGTTGGAGATTAGGACTTGAACCTGTGATTAAACAGGGGGAAAGATGCAGTTCTGTACATGGGATGTATTGCTCACTTTGGTTTTCTTTTCAAAATGTTAAAATTACTAAACTATTTTAAGCCTAATAAGCATAACTATTTGAATAGAACTATATCTTTCAGGTTAAAATAACAGAAATCATGACTGGTGCCCCTTCCTATATGTCTTGAAGCCCAAAAACAAAACTGCTAGTGGGCACTATACATAATGACACACTAGGCAATTGGAAATTAACCAATATGATTGCTAAGATGTCTAACACATGCAAATCAGGTTCATTTTAGGCAATTGATCTATGTATCCAGAAGTTTCAGATGACAGGTGAGTATTTCAGTATATGTCAGATGTTTGAGAATCTACAGAAAATCTTCAAAATTGCATGGATTTCATTTTATAGAGTTAGTAGCAGATTTGTTGCTGTTGCTCTTAGCAAACTCATTTGAATAGTATAAATTCATAATTATTTTCTTTGATGAATTAATATTTAGTGCTTTTTTGACACCTTTTCTTTCCCAGCCAAATTTGCACAAATGAGTTTCTTCCCAGATCTCCAGCAATCATCTAAATAAATTATCCCTTATTGTTGAGTTG